GTAGAGCGCTGCACTAGTATCGCAGAGGTCAGTGGTTCGAATCCCGTACAGGCCTGATTTTTTTCAGGTCTGATTTTCGCTATTGCTTAAATAGCGCTATCTACTGCGAGGATCGTGCATCATACGTATCTAATACCGCAGTTCAAAATATATGAACTTCATATATTTCATTGTATCTGATTTATCACTTTCACGGGTTTATTACGAATCAACTTAACGGCCTGCTCCCAGTTGGCTTGTTAGCTCAATTAGTAGAGCGCTGCACTAGTATCGCAGAGGTCAGTGGTTCGAATCCCGTACAGGCCTGTTTTTTTTCAGGTCTGATTTTCGCTATTGCTTAAATAGCGCCATCTACTGCGAGGATCGTGCATCATACGTATCTTAACTCTAATGTTCAACATAATACATAATTCAATACCTCGATATCGAACTATTTGTGCTCCATCTTGTTATTGCATCTTGGTGCTAATATTTACATTTAGTACATTTATCCTTTCTTTTATTGTTCCATTTGTTCAGTTGTTTAATAGACGAAACTGGAGCCTTATGGCTGCTTCACGATATTCACGCCGCCGCTTGTCTAACATTTCCGCAAAGTTCTGTGTCGAAATCTGTGTCCTTCATATGCACTTTGATGGAGTCAACAGAGAACTTTCCGCCTCTGGTAGAGGATGAGACATTAGTGAGCAGTGTATTGCAGCTATCTTACAAAGATTCGTATGGTTCCAGTTTTAAGGGAGATTTTGGCGAACAAGTGTCAGTGGCCATATCACACTGTGCAACTAAACTTAGAGGATATGAAGTAAAGATCAGAGAATTAATTAATCCAGAAAACAATGAATGGAGAGATTTAGAAACAACGAACGTATGGCAAGCATCCGGTCGGTAACAATTTGAGTCACTGGTGTAGCTAATTAAGTCAAGAACACCTTCGTTGCAAACAGTAATCTATTCATGCTTTTAAATGATGTTATTCAATACTCCTACGTTTTCGTTCTCTGAATGTAAAAAAAACTCTTGGGAAAATGGCTGGCTTTCATAAAAATTACGGAGGTTCTGAATGTCTTTCTCTAATCAAAAAGCAAGGTTTAATAACACCAATTATTGTATTGTTTTTAGATGTACCAAACGCTCAGGGGGATTCCTCACAGCTAAGGGTCCCCTATGCTCAGGCCAAAGTGACATGCTGTTCCACTTATGCCGTCATTTGCCGACTCAGGTCCTATACTTTTTCTACTAACACGTTAAAAAATTGCGAGTTAATTTGTACGATTCCAGAGTACCCCGATGTCAGTGTAACAATTCCGCCTCAGAGTGTGGACTTCTTTCAATTAATTATGAAGGTAACATAATTAAGGAAACACAATTTTGTTTTCCTTTTCTACGAATAAGTCTCAATTTGAAGAAGTTTTATCCAGTGGAGGTAAAACAAAATTTCTACAAGCGGCGTTCAATAGAGGCACAACTTCATTCTGATGTTTTATCCTTAAGGTTCAAGAAGTCCCACAACAGTGGTATCACGATAGTGATATGGTAGCTGGACCTGTACTTCACGTCACATGCCCCGAGTTTGTTCAACTGTTTGAACCAGCGTCGATAACCCTCCCTATCTCCCTCGAAGCACATGAGAATCAATTCGCAGAAATTTCGTCATGTGATGTAATGGTGTTCTCGGATTGCGAAAATGAGATGTCAGAGTGGCAAGAGATTACGGAGGAGCTGCTAAAGCCAGTGGAACTTGTGAATGGGGTGGTTCAATTCCAAGTTGCACATTTCAGTCGGTGTGTATAGCAAATTCATTTTTCGGTTTGCCCCTGTGAGTCCATCGTTTTATTCTTTAGTTTGTGCAGGCTATATGTTTGGCTGATAAGTATCCGCTGTCAATCTATCTACCATAGTACCTACTTGTCTAAACAAATAGTATTACCCTTTATAGTTTATGACAGTTTGGGTCACATCTTAGAACGTTAAGGAATTAAGTACATTTAAGCTCAGTTAGTGGATTCAGGTTTTCAACCGCTGAGATACGACGCTCAGTTGCCAAATATACCTTTTTTGAAATTGAAATATCTCTTGCCTATTGATATTCCGTACCATTGGACGCCTTTCTCCATAGAACACTCAAACATATCGAAATATTGCTTCCAAAAGCCTGGGCTAACCATACCCTAAGTGTCAATTTCCTCCAAACGCTATTGAATGCTGAGTTAGGAAATTAGCAGAGGTTAATGAACAATGTCAGATGTTGCCAGATGTCGCTTCCACCAGTATAATTTTAAGATTTGAAATGCATTTACAAAGGTGATCTTTTTTTAAAAAGATTTAGGGTCCATTGAAATATCAGTAGTCTTTTTTTGGGCGTCGGTATTGTCCCACTCTGTAAGTACTTGCGCTCGTAGAAAAAGGATTGCATATACATTTGTAAATCGCTAAGTACGATTCTATGTCGACGGTTTTACTTTTCGACAGGAAGTGGATATTGCTGAAAAAAAAGCGTTTACAAAAGCGGAGATTTTCTCCTCGTTTTCCTGGAAGGACGGCCCTAGAAGCAGGATTTTTTGCATGTTTGTGCAAATCTGATAACTTGTCCTCTGAGAACCCCCAGTTGCGATTTTGTTGCTACCCAGTTCATCTGAAGGATTCAGTCAAAGAAATGACATGTTCTAAATATGATGTCCTCCGTTATGGCAATGGAGATTCTATCGAACCATTATGTGATGGCGACCTCATAAATGTTTTACCTTGCAAGGGCCTTAAAGCCCGTGGAGTTACATCAGAAGATCTCTTAATGCTGAGGTAAGAATACTGCTCTAGCCCCGATATCTCACATTAGTACGATCATAACAGTTCATTTTAAACTAATATAGATATATGCATTTGCCAGGCGAAGGTACCCTCGGTGATTATGTGCGTTTACAGGTTATAAGTTATTTATTTTGAAAAGCATAAAACGTGTGTGAAGTTTACTCGGAGGTAACTGTTGATGGTATTGGTTAATGATGAAATTCTTTCAAATAGTTGTTGTTTCTGAGGGTGGCATAGTGACGTATGACAATCGGTCGTGCTCAGCTATCTTCATGCTCAAGGAAACAGTCTTTTATTGGTTGAAATATGACGAGAAGCATGGTCTGAGTTAGGGGGGCCTAGCTTTCTGACGTTACTCAAATAAACTGTCATAGTCATAGATGAAACGTTGAGCATAGTGAGCAGTTTGAGAGTAAAAAATGCTTAGTGTCCAGGTATGCCTCAGGATTGCTGTTAATCTCTTCAAAGGGGAAGGCGTGCATGACAGTAGAAGCACGTGGTCACGCGTTAAAGTTCACAATGACGTTTGTTGGGATTTTGAATTTTGAAACCCTCTTAGTGACAAAGTAGGAAATTATCTCGTGATTGAATAGGTGCGAGACCAATGTAGGAGCAAGCAAATGCCGACAAACTGCATTTCAATCCTGTCAAATTATTTTAAGGTGTGGCCTACGTGTTTTTTCTTTGAACAATGAGTGGAGAAAGAGCAATTTGGTTCTCGATTGAGACATCAGTTTTTCATTCCCTTTTTAAGGTTTCGTACCAAGAAGGAATTTGAAAGGGATGTCATCGTGCGAGACTTATGTAAACGTGCACCCCAAGTAGAGTTCCTGCGTCATGATAAAGATAAACGTCTGTGTTTACTGTCGATGGTACCACCTCCTCAAGTAAGTTCAGAATTTGGCATTTTTTTATCTCATTCCACATGGTGAAGTATGAATATATTCTAACTCTTTGTTCCTATTCTTGTTTCCTCTCCTTTAAGCTTTTTTAATGTATGCCAACTTCCTAAAAACATGGGATCCCAGGGTCTTAAACATCACTTTGTGGCTCAGTCATGTCTACTAATCGTTGACGCTGACTTGTAACGTTTCAAAGGTATACCCTAACACGCTCAAAACACACGCTTGCTGTGAAGCATCCTTTTCTTCAAACTTGCACCACAGATCTATGTTTCTTGAGAGGCTCACATTTAGATCTAGGCATGATCTTGTATTTTTCAATGGTAGAAATTTTCCACCTTGTCTATGTTCTCGTAAATTTAATTGAAATAGCGTAAATGTCTTTCAATTTTCATCTTTTAGGACCGGGGGAGACAACAGCAACAAGGTAAACTTTTTTACAACCCTTTTTTGATTGGTTAAACATACAATTCCCATTGAGTGTTCATGATCTAGATATAAGTGTGTGCATAGCCTTGTGTTATAACAGGACGTGTGAAGATCTGCTGGAAAGTTCCAAACTGACCAGTTTAGCCTGTACTTTCAAAATTTTCAAGAAGGTTTTTCTGTTCCTTCTCGATCGCGAGAGACCTTTTGGAGCTCAAAATAAAAATTTGATGCTAAATAACACTCGATAGATTTTCTATTAGAATAGAAATGGTCCTCCCAAATAACGCAGCTAGAGGCATTGTTTTCCATTTGGTAACTATTTATCGTCACACTCATAAGCAGTGAAGCGTATGAGGGTTTTTTCATGGTCAAACATCGGTTCAGTTGGTGAGTTCGGTTTCTGCTCAAAAAAACTTTTTCATGGAGATTTTTGAATAGCAAGCAATATGATAGGCATCGTACAAGCCTTCGATGATTCCTCATGAGTGCAGTAAAGTCTACTTACGAAAGACTGCAGACCAACGCAGGAGAGGATCAAAGAGCAAACAGGGATTGAATTCACAATCGCTAAAACACATGAAACTCAAATCAAGAAAGTTTATTTGAAGTTAACATTTGGTTATCTCAAAACATATTGCTATCGCACCTCTGTACTGTTTGCTTATTGGAGAATATTCATACTACGTTTATTGTGTTTTCAGATGCGACAGATGTTCCAGAAAGTTCAGTGTGCAAGAGAAAGTCGTCATTTGTTACTTGGGCTACCAAGCGACTGAAAGTGAATGACGGTATAGTAAAATATTTCTCTGTTGAATTTTCTAGCCTCAGCAGAGCATTAATCCCTTCGCTTCCTGAGATGATCACTATGCCTGTCCCGTAAAGAGGAGAGGAGCCCTTTTTCATTAGCTGCGAGATCTTGCAAGATCGTGTGAGCGCGTCTAGGTATTAACTCTCAGCCTACACTCGACCTCACATTTTGCTTAGTATGCTTAGGAACGAAATAACGAGTAGATGTTATTTCCGGCAGATGGAGTAAAAGAGGGCTGTCCCTCTTTAGAGGAATTGCTTGACCTCTCACAAAAGCTTGACAAGTGGAAACCACTTGGGCGTCACCTATTGGACATGGATGAGTCTACAATAACACAGATCCATAAGGATAATGAGGAACTAGAGGAAAAGGCTTATCAAATGTTGCGACATTGGAAACAGAAAAAACACAAAAAGGCAACTTATCAAGCTTTATTTTCGGCTTTGTGCAGGATAGATCGGGAGGATCTGGCCGAGGAATTTTGTCGAGCAGGAACAAGTACCTTTTAACATACTTCGTTGCAATTTATATTCTGGTGATACGTATTTCATACACACCCATATTTAAGTCAAACGCCTACTTGTGTTTCCCCCTTTTTAGAAACTATGCTATTATTAGATTCAGTGCGTCACGGGTTCCATGGCCGGATGTCTTCTTTCACATACTACACTCCTTTTTAATCATTAATCCCGTTCGTGCACGGGCGGACTAATTGTCCCAATGTTATGGCTACCATGGCCTTCGTATCTACCAAGTTTTTCCTAAATGCTTTAGCCTTTCTTTCCCTAGTGGTTCGTTTTAGTCAGATAGTTTGCTTTAAGCATGTTCGCCTTATTCTTCTTCATTACTCTACTTTTTCAAATACCTTTGTAAGACTTAAAAGAGAAATGTGACCATTTGTTTCACGATGTAGTCACTTGGGATGATCGTAAGACAAACGATTACATTTCTCATTTAAGTATTATTGACCACGATGAACAACCACAATTTATTTTACAAAATATAACTTTGTGATACTTGCAAGAGTTCTGACGTCCATGAAACAATCTTCAACCTCTCTCTCTCTCTCAGAAGGAAAAAGCCCAGGAAATATCTGATGGTGTGTAAACTTCAGTTGATCAGGGAGGTGAAGCGAATACAAAACTTAGAAAAAAGAAACCTCAACACTTCTCGTACTACATCATAGGAGTGTCTCACGGAGGACCATTCAATAAAAATCCATTTACATGATTAACGCCTCATCATAAAGGTAAATTAAGTTATCTCAAGGCGTACAAAGAAATATACAAGGCAGCAATAGGTCTATTTTTCTCAGTATCCACTGCACTTACACCTATTCTTGATGTGCGAAACGTCCTCATGTTGCAAGTACTGATGGTCCTGAATTTTTCTCCTCTTCGATTGTTCAGAAGTCCAAAATTAGTATTTTCCTTTTTGAATTGATGAATTTTCCCATCCTATAACTCCCGGAAGTAATTATAGAGTGACCTCTCCATATGTTATGAACGCATTTTCCGTTTAAAAGTGTTGAAGAAAGCAAATTAATTTCTTAAGTATATTATCATGATAAAAAACAAAACAAATTGAATTTATCTTTTCTTCTTTAGTATGAAATTCATACGACAAACAAGGGGTAGAATTTCGAGTCATCCTCAAAGACCTTTAGGTTAAAATGTACCGTACTGACATTTTTTACGAGAAAAGGAAAAGCTATTGCAATTGAAGGTAAGGTCACCTTGACCACTACTTCGCTTCAATATATCTTAAAAGACTAACATTGTACATTGGGTAACATTTTTTTAAGAAATAAAGGTATTGAAAGCACACAACGGTTCGGTATCCTGATTACGGTTAAAAAAAAGACAACCAAGTAAATACACACAAGAGAAATATGCAATAATCCTATACAACAGAATAATTTCTGCCTTTTGGCAGTATAGAGAAAGGTCTTACCATGAAAGTGGTGTAAGAAAGAAAGCCAAACCTGAATGTCACAATTCGTTTCCTTAGTCAAGCGAATACGATGATACTGGCGCTCGATTCCCCTGGTAAGATCACAGGTGGCCCAAGCTCTGTCACAGGCTCTTTCACAGTGAATAATTAA